TTCGTCATCAGACACTGAAAACGATTTTGCGACTAAGTTCAGTGATGTGCGAACTTGGCGCTATATTTAAAATGTCAGTATTTTTGGTTTGATTACATTATTTCAGTAAACGTATTATCATTATGTTATTATTTTTTATGATTATTTATTATATTATAATTTATGATTTCGTGTTTCAAATTAAATCATTCCAGGGATGTTTACTAGACTCTTGTTCAGACAGATTTCAGTGAGTTATATCTAAGAAATACAGGCCTACAGTAAAAAAACAACATATTTCCATGCAAAAAAATGTACCACTTTGAGCACAGAAATACTGACATAATCAGACCGCTAGGGAAGTCAAATACAAATTCTCTTAGTTTCTAATAGCAGTTTCTGTTATATTGCAGGTTGTCAGTAAAAATACACTCTTTCACTAAATGTTTCATGTTTTGTCAGTAAAAGTTTTAAGAGTTTGGCAACTCTGAAAAGACTGCAGAAACAGGAGCAACAGATAATCATAATACTTAATTAAGTTCCTTTGTTGAGTGAAAAACAGCAGATTTGAGTTAGATATACGCCAGGTTCTGCCATATTTTGTAAATAAATTCCTTCCATCCAGTTCTTTATTTGTCATAATTATAGTCACTTTTGTTCAGTTTTCATCAATAATCCTAGTTTGTTTTATTTGATATGTTTGTTTTATTTTTTATAATATTTAGTGGTGGCTTAATAAATAACAACTGTAAAATTCCATATCCCAATTCATATTATTTCTTTTATATTTTAGCTTACGTTGAAGACATCGCCAAGATCATAAAAAGAAGCAGAAGAGCTATTTTTATCCTCTCTGAGAAATATATTAGAAGTCCCAAAGTATTTGAGTTACAAGCAGCCATTACTTGCTCACTAGAGGAACAGGAGGCTCTTAAACTGATTCTCATTAAGTTCAAGCCATTTAAACAGCCAGGATTCTTGCCAAATGTAGTGAGGAAGGCCCTCAATACTCTTCCAATGGTGACATGGAAAGGGGATTTAGACAGTAAAACTTCTCAGAATGTAAAATTTTGGAATAGGATCAGGTATTATATGCCAGTTAAAAAGGTCAAGATAAATGGAAAGCCATCACTTTCAGTGGAAGATGGTTTTCAAACATAAATAACAAGAAACACTGATATTTGACGTACTACATACTATATATATTATACAGTGAAGGAAAAAAGTATTTGATCCCCTGCTGATTTTGAATGTTTGCCCACTCACAAAGAAATGATCAGTCTAAAAATCGAATGGTAGGTATATTGTAACACTGCGAGACAGAATAGCAACAAAAAATTCAAAAGAAATTCATGTCTAACAAATGATGCACTGAATTGCATGTTCATGAGGCAAATATGTATTTGATCCCTTCACAAAACATGACTTAGTACTTGGTGGCAAATCCCTTATTGGCAATTACAGGTCAGATGTTTCCTGTAGTTGGCCACCAGGTTTGCACAAATCTCAGGAGGGATTTTGGCCCACTCCTCTTGGCAGATCCTCTCCAAGTCATTAGGGTTTGGTGGCTGACGTTTGGCAACTCGAACTTTCAGCTCCCTCCACAGATTTTCAATCGGATTAAGGTCTGGAGACTGGCTAGGCCACTCCAGGACCTTAATGTGCTTCTTCTTGATCCACTCCTTTGTTGCCTTGGCCGTGTGTTTTGGGTCATTGTCATGCTGGAACACCCATCCACGACCTATTTTCAATGCCCTGGCTGAGGGAAGAAGGTTCTCACCCAAGATTTGACACTACATTGGCCTGTCCATCGTGCCTTTGATGTGGTGCAGTTGCAGTTATCCTGTCCCCTTAGCAGAAAAACACCCCAAAGCAGAATGTTTCCACCACCATGTTTGACAGTTGGGATGGTATTCTTGGGATCAGCATTCCTCCTCCTACAAACACGGCGAGATGGGTTGATGCCAAAGAGCTTGATTTTGGTCTCATCTGACCACAACACTTTCAACCAGTCCTTCTCTGCATCATTCAGATGTTCAGTGGCAAACTTCAGACGGGCCCGGACATGTGCTTTCTTGAGCAGAGGGATCTTGCGGGCACTACAGGATTTCAATTCTTGTCGGCGTAGTGTGTTACCAATTGTTTTCTTGGTGGCTGTGGTCCCAGCTGCCTGCAGATCATTGACAAGATCCTCACGTGTAGTTCGGGGATGATTCCTCAGTGTTCTTATGATCATTGACACTCCACAAGGTGAGATCTTGCATGGTGCACCAGACCTAGGGAGACTGACAAATGTTTTGTGTTTTTCCACTTGCAAATGATTGCACCAGCTGTTGTCACCTTCTCACCAAACTGCTTGGCGATAGTTTGGTAGCCCAGTCCAGCCTTGTGTAGGTCTACAATCTTGTCCCTGACATCCTTGGACAGGTCTTTGGTCTTTGCCATGGTGGAGAGTTTGGAATCTGATTGTTTGATTGCTCCTGTGGACAGGTGTCTTTTATACAGGTAACAAAATGAGATTAGCAGCACTCCCTGCTAGAAGAGAGTGCTTCAAATCTCAGCTTGTTACCTGTATAAAAGACACCTGGTAGCCAGCAATCCTGCTGAATGATAGGGGATCAAATACTTATTTCCCTCATGAACATGTAAATCAGTGAATAATTTGTTTAGACATGCATTTCTTTTGAATTTTTTGTTGCTATTCTGTCTCTCAGTGTTACAATACACCTACCATTCGATTTTTAAACTGATCATTTCTTTGTGGGCAAACATTCAAAATCAGCAGGGGATTAAATACTTATTACCTTCACTGTATATATAGATATATATATATTTATTATTTTTTATATATATATATATATATATATATATATATATATATATATATATATCTTATTATGTTAGGACGGAGCTTTTTGGTTTGGGGTTGGACCCTTGGGGGCTATTTATTGAGCTTTGTTCATTGCCCTGGCTGCTTTGGGAAGGACAGACTGTGACTAGGCGAAACATTGCTGCAACATTGTTCATTATTTATGGAGAACCATGGCATTTATCTTGGATGGCAGGCTAAAACCTTCTATTTTCTACATCAGCATTTGTCCACCTTTTTTCCAGTTGCGGCATCCTTCAAAAGTAAACACATTTTTGAGGCATTCTATTCTAAAATGTAAAATGTTGGAAACCTAAATGTAACTTATTAATGGGAAACCTGAGACCGGGACAATGTATATAAGTTGCCCTTCCCATCAGAGTTCATCCCTCACATCTTAATCCCACCTTCACATCAGTGGTCCCCCTATATATTAAAGTCCTTCCTATACATCAGAGTCCTCCTGACACATCAGAACCCCATCACATCAGTTGCCCCTATACACGAGTCCCCCTACTACCATAGAGTTCCCCTACCACCTCTCCCCCCAGTCACACAGGCCCTCCCCATTACAGAGAAACCAAATCACACAGTCCCCCCATCACAGAACGCCCCAGTCACACCGTCTCCTCTTCCCATCAGAGCCCCACTTTTTGGCTCCAGAAAAACAACAGAGGGCAAGAGATGAAGGAGGTTTGGAGGAAGTGGACTTCTGTCTTTTCCTGAATGCTGGAGGTGGCTCATCATGCCACCTTTGATGGATCAGACCTATGCATTTCCACAGAACCATAGCAATGAATAGCAATGTACATCTTGGCCCTAGCGCGTAATTGGTTGTTATGGTGCTGGAGTCCGGACCATCTGCACCTTGAAAGCTCATGACGCTGATCCAGGGCAAACTGGTTCCCATGCTCGCAGCACCCCAGAGGAAAGCAGACTCCATCCTGGTTGAGAAACACTAATATATTATATATATATTTATAGTACATATTTATCACATGAAAAATTACTTTTGTACACTATTTGTTGAAATTTCCTTAGACCAGACTATTTCTCCAGACCTCCAGAAAGAATAAACATTTCTATGGTTTTGGTAATGTGTAGTTTATGGCTTTATATTTTATAGTTTGTGAATTTTATGTGTATTTTTGGGTTTAAAATTAAATGTTCAGTACCTGTTCCTGAGTTATTGTTATGCTCGGCCCCTGCATGGGCGTATATTGAGCTTGTTGTGTTCATAAAACAAAACTTTCTTAATAAAAATATTGAAACAGAAAATTAAATGTTTAGTATGTCAATCAATAAACAAGCTATAATTTTGTTCACCGGTAAAAAAAGTTTCAGCTTACTTTTATTAATGTGAATGTAAACTCTAACAATGAATCTCTCTTATTAGCTTCTATTTGGTGTGCTAAATAAATAAAAGCATTATTTATTTTATTTACCATTTCAAAAACCTCAGCCCCTTTGACACACTAGGTTGAGTGAAAATCACTGAAAGTAACACTGCTAGTAGTGTTATATCAAAGAAAACAGGCACTAAACCAATTAGTAAAGGCAAATATATTGTCACCCAATATGATTAGTAAATAGGCAAGAATGAAAATGGATTAACAATGGCAATTTAAAACAATTTAGCATACAGAGTGATTGTTAAGAAGGACTAAGCATAAGATGACACTTGGCGCCCCGCATAAACAATAGCAAGGTCAACTAAAGTGCAGCAGTAGGCAATAAAAAGCCTACCGTATTTTTTGCTCCATAAGACGCACTTTTTCCCCCCAAAAAAGGGGGGGAAATGTCAGTGCGTCTTATGGAGCGAATATAAAGTGGCCGGTCCAGTATTTCTGCCGCCACCATGTCAAAATACCGGGCCCGGCCGCTCAGCTGTTCTCTGCGGCAGGAACTCACCTGTTCCTTGGTCCAGCGCTGTAGTCTTCCCGCACCGGCTTCTTCCCACCCCGGCATCTGTGACAGCTGAGTGCCCTCTGCGCATGTGCGAGAAGTGCTGCGTTTTGTGAATGGTCCGGCATCTTCTGGGACCTGTCGCCGGGTGCCCACTGCGCATGCGCAAGAAGCGCTGCGCTTTGTAAATGGCCTGGCGTCTTCTGGGACCTGTCGCTGGGTGCCCACTGCGCATGCGCTAGAAGCGCTGCGCTTTGTGAATGGTCTGGCGTCTGCACTGCGCTTTGTGAATGGTCTGGCGTCTTCTGGAACACATGTCAGGTCCCAGAAGGCCATTCACAAAGCCGGGTGCCCACAGTATAGGAAGGAGAACTCCGCGGAAGTGGGAGCGGGTACCTGTCAAATTCAGATACCCGCTCCCCCTACCTCCCTAAAGGTCCGCAGTGTCTGGTCATGCCCTGTACTGTCTGCAGTCTCTGGTCTTCCCTGTACTGTCTGCAGTCTCTGGTCATCTGTACTGTCCGCAGTCTCTGGTCATCTCCTGTACTGTCTGCAGTCTCTGGTCATCCCCTGTACTGTCCGCAGTCTCTGGTCATCTCCTGTACTGTCCGCAGTCTCTGTTCATCCCCTGTACTGTCCGCAGTCTCGGGTCATCCCCTGTACTGTCTGCAGTCTCTGGTCATCTCCTGTACTGTCCGCAGTCTCTGTTCATCCCCTATACTGTCCGCAGTCTCGGGTCATCTCCTGTACTGGCTGCAGTCTCTTGGTCATCTCCTGTACTGTCCGCAGTCTCTGTTCATCCCCTATACTGTCCGCAGTCTCTGGTCATCCACTGTACTGTCCGCAGTTTCTGGTCATCCCCTATACTGTCCGCAGTCTCTGGTCATCCCCTGTACTGTCCGCAGTCTCTGGTCATCCCCTGTCCTGTCTGCAGTCTCTGGACATCTCCTGTACTGTGTCCACAGTCTCTGGTCCATCTCCTGTACTATGTCCGCAGTCTCTGGTCATCTCCTGTAGTATGTCCACAGTCTCTGGTCCATCTCCTGTACTGTGTCCGCAGTCTCTGGTCATCTCCTGTACTATGTCCGCAGTCTCTGGTCATCTCCTGTAGTATGTCCGCAGTCTCTGGTCCATCTCCTGTACTGTGTCCGCAGTCTCTGATCATCTCCTGTACTATGTCCGCAGTCTCTGGTTATCCCCTGTACTGTGTCTGCAGTCTCTGGTCATCTCCTGTACTATGTCCGCAGTCTCTGATCATCTCCTGTACTATGTCCGCCGTCTCTGGTCCTTCTACTGTACTGTTTCTGCAGTCTTTGGTCATCTCTTGTACTGTCTGCAGTCTCTGGTTATCTCCTGTACTATGTCCGCAGTGTCTGGTCACTTCCTGTACTATGTCTGCAGTCCATTGGTTCAGAATATTTTTTTTTTCTTGTTTTTCTCCTCTAAAACCTAGGCACGTCTTATGGTCAGGTGCGTCTTATGGAGCAAAAAATACAGTAATTTACTGAACATAGGAACTATGCTGCCAAAGTGCACTGATGGGGACTGTGCTAGGCCTAGACCGAATGGATGTTCAAATGATCATCATCTCAGACCTCATGTTGTAAGCTTAGCATCTTATGTTAAGGATTCTATCCATCTTTTAAAAATTATTGAAAATCTTGATGTACCTCAATCTGCCTATTTAGTAACAGTTGATGTGGAATCCCTTTATAATTGCATTCCACATAACAAAGGAATTGCTGTGGTCAAATACGTTCTGCAGCAATGTGGAGTGCATGAATGGGGATTCAATGAATTTATCTTGAATATGCTTGACTTTATTTTGAGTCATAATGATTTTTTATTTCAAGGCTCCCATTACCTCCAGGTACAGGGCGTGGCCATGGTGACTTTTTGTGTCCCTTCCTACCTTTACCTGAGGGTATGGGAGCAGGAATTTCTGTCTAATGAGTCTCTCTCCAGATATACACAACATATTATCATCTGGCAAAGATATATAGACGACATATTTCTTGTTTGGGATGGTCCTGAAATGCTGTTGAAACAGTGTTTTGAGGTGATGAATAAAAATGATTCAAACCTTTTCTTTACTATGACTTATGCTCAAGAGAAAATCAATTTTTTGGACATCAACATCTCTAAGGGAATGGGTGCACAGTTACAGAGAGTAGTCTTTTTAGGAAGGAAACTTCCGGCAATACTATTTTGCATGCTGACAGCTTCCATCCAGAACCTTTGAAGAGACCTATTCCATACAGTAAATTTTTGCGCATCAAGCGAAATTGCACAGATGATCATATATTCCAGAGAGAGGCAAATGAGCTTACCAAACGACTACTAGCATGAGGGTATACAAAAACAGGTCTTAAAAAGACCTTTAATCGTGTAAAAAATTTGGATACATCTAAAGACCATCAAAAGACCAACACAGGGAGAAAGTTAGGGTAATTCTAAAATATTCCAATGACCATACCAAAATAAGAAAGATATTACAAAACCATTGGTCTGTTTTGGCAGAAGACCCAATTATTAGTAAATTAGTGGGTGATAATCCTTCAATCACCTACAAAAGGGCAGGGTCTTTAAACGATTCTTTAGTACAAAGTAAATACAAGGGGGATCAGAGATGTGATTCATGTAAATATGTTGGCACCTTTCCCTGTAGGAAATGTGCACATTGCTCCTTTTTGAGAAAAAAAAACAATTTACTCTCCCGAATGGAGAGAAATTTATCTCTAAATATGTTGTTAATTGCCAGACCAAAGAGATAGCATACCTTATGCTATGTGAATCTGGATCTTTTTGCATGGGTAAAACACATCAAGAATTGTGGAAACGCATTTATAAGCATGTTCATGTTATGAAAATAGGTAATCTTTATTTACCTCTGGGAAGGCATTTTGTCAAATTTCACAAATATAGGATGCCAGAGGTGACTTTTTCAGCTCTTGATAGAATACACATTCCTACCAGGGGTGGCGACTGGAACAAAGTACTATTCCAGCAAGAAATACGCTTGATTAGATGCCTTGATGCCACTCGCCCCCCTGGTGTGAATGAGTCTGAAAGTTATAGACCTTTTTTACAGGGCTTTACTTCTGGAAAAACAGATTGAGAATGTGTACTGTAGATTGAGACATACTGTATCTTTAAGAAATATGTAAAGTGATGTGCTGTCCGGATTGTATGATACATTTATTGTCATATTTTTGCAACTTGTTTGTACAGATGTCTCCTATGCAGGAGTTTTTCTTTGTCTTCCTACTGGGGCCATCCTTTATTGTGTGTCCGGCATGGAAAGGGTCTCTCACATCTCTCACATCCATTTCCACAGTGGGGGACCCATTTTTTTTTGTCTTTGTAGAGCAATAGGGGAGGCCTATGTTCTTCCCCCTTGTTCTCATTTGCCTTGTGTGCAGGCCTTATTGTTCCATGTCAGCGACGGTCTCCAAAATTGCTCCCACACGGTCACTGGAAGAGTGTCACTCTGTTGATATTCATGCTTATTTTCTGCACTTCAGTAGTTATTTGTACTACACCTGAGCCCTTACATTTTTGTTGTTTTTTTGGTCTAAATTTTGATGCTTTCCTATGTAGTACTAACTGATGGGAGACAAAAAAAATTAATTGGAATGTTTGTCCCCTTGAACACTCAATAGAAGGGTGTATATATTGATATGATCATTTTCTTTTTCTCTCTTTCTCTCTCTCTCTCTCTCTCTCTCTCTATTTCTACCAATTTATACATACCATTGGTTTATTCTGATGATATTCTTCTGTATTTTTAGTCCTTCATTATCTATCATTACATAAGTTGTTATATCTATATATACACTTTATTATGACAGGGGTTCTAATGTGGCACCCGTGGTCTTTGCACATCAAAATGATGGCCTCATTTTGGAGGGGATTCGTCTCCTGACATAGTGTAGCTTTGAATATTTGTGGTGGTTATGTAAGTTGTTTACCTCATACAGTTTAATTCAGTACTAAATAGTTATGACAATGTTTGCTAAAATTGATTGTTAATTATTATTATAGAGTGGTATCATATCCCTGAAGAAGAATCTGTTAAGCATTCGTTGCATCCCAGGCTGCAGTCATATTTTGAGGTTGCAAGATGGAAATCAGCTATGGGGGATACCCGGATATATATTGAAACATACCATAATTTGCAAAGTGAATGAGTAGTCTGAATTGCTGTGCAATATATTTGGCAATATGCAATAACCATTTTGTACTTTTGATGACATGTGTAAATAAAATGTTGATTCTCTTTTTATAAAAAAAAAAAGAGTGGTCTCTCTTGTACAATTTAAGGTTGCCTTTAAAATCCCATTAAATGTAAGATATAATTTTTTGTACTCTGGAAATAGGGATGGTGACAATCACACCCTAAGCTACACTGAATTAGCTTAGGGGAGAGTGGGGACAAAGGGAACTTCCATGATGGTTTTACAGGAGGGGAAGTCCTTTATATTTGAACCCTATTCAAACAGCGCAACACACCCTAAAATAATACAATAATGCTCAAAATAGTTGCCTCTAAAACATTGTTTGTTATTTCACAACACCTGTAGCAACATGAATAACAATACAGTGTAGCATGACAAACTAGTATCTCATATAAAAATAAATCAAAAACAATAATTCATTCCCATGAAAAAGTTTCTTACAACACCACTGTGCAATGTGTATAAAATAAATCTTCTCTCTACTTCAGTTCCAACCGTGCCACCACCATTAGGTGAAAAACCTGCTCACCTCACTTTATGACTTCATCAATAGGTCATTATGCGCTCAACATATGTACACACTGGTGTACACCCCTTGTGGTCTTCCTCCAGCTCCTCTCCAGTCACCGCCACAGTATACACTCCTCCAGCCAAGGCTCTCATATAATATGTATTATGGAAAACAGAAGTGTGGAACTATAGTGCTCTCTATTTATAAAATGATTTATTAGCACCCAGATTTTAAATATAATTTTTATCATTTTTTTTTTTCATCGTTTTCAATTTTAGCGTGTCCCCAGCTTTGAGGCATCAGGTTTTCCCCACTTCCAGGTCCATAGGTGTCCCAAGATGGCCAACAACTTAACTTTGGGGTTCCGAAGTGATCCAAGATGGCCGATTAAATCACTTCCGTTGGCCAGGAATTGATGTCATTTCTGGGGGTAGGGAAAAAAGATACACGGGTTATTTAAGTGCTCCACATTTGCCAGCTCCCCGTCTACTGAGGAAGCCCAAATCTGGGGCATAACATGTGTAGGTGGAAGGAGCTGAGCCCTAAACATTTTGAATTGATGACCATCTGGGAGAGCAGGATGGTGAGGCATGTAATGAAATGTACATTATATGCTGGCTTGTTTCTTAAATCTTGTAAGTTTTTTAATCTGGGCACTAATAAATAGTTTTATAAATAGAGAGCACTATGGTTCCACTTTTCTGTTTTCCATAATACAGTTTTCTATGGGAATTGTAGTGTAAAGGGTCCATGAGTCCCATTCTAAGTCTGCTGTCACTGACTATAATCCCCATGATCCTCATCATTCTATATAGAAGTCTATGGGCTTTCCTGGCCATAGCTTTCCCCCTACTGACTGGAGGATATAGTGCAACACAACATCCAGGATAGCAGTATAAAGTGAAAGTAAAACTAAATATAAAGAGGACAATGTCTCCTTCTCCATGCTTCTGTAATCCAG